ACTCACCAGGTTCTGAGTTGCCTGTTCTCACCTGTTGCCCAGACACATTCTGTACATCCTCAACTAGACCCACAGCCCCCTCACCATGTTTGGCACGCTGCTCGCTCATGCGCGGCTGGGTCTCAAGAGATGATGAAGCACTAAGGTAATCATGAAGGAAAACGGTTCATGGTAGTGTGGGTAGCCAGAACAGGCGACGGATCAGCAACTTTTTAAAAGGCAGCCATAACCAAGGGAGTTAATCATTGATAACTAGTATAAATGGAGAAAGAAAAAGTGAATTTATTAGCCAATAGCAGCATCATTATCTCCAGCCAGTCACCCAGCAAAACCATTCATCCCCACTACAGCACTTGTGTGGTATCTCAGAACAAACTGTATGTATTTGCTGTCATTGCTACCCAACTCTACTTTCATCATTTTTCAAGCGGTGCCTATCTATGCAGGGGAGTGTGACTGCAAAAGGAAAGTCTTCGGGGACTTTGGTGAGCCGCACAGCAAGGTTGAGCAACTCTGGCACCAGATTTCAAACTACGAAAATCGTTACTGGCACTCATTCACTATTCACCAGTTTGTGCCTTGTTTCTTCTAGCTTCACAGGGTCTCTTTTCCCACTTGTCTCCCCATCTTCTGCTTCCAACTCCGTACCCATGGTATGAATCAGGCCTGTCAGTTTCATGCAGGGTGTTCTGAATAGTAGTAATTCACGATAGCTGCAGTTTCGTTTGTGAAGGAAAGCTTTAATTAAAAGGGAGATTGAATATACATAATTAAACAAACATACAAAGGGAGAGAGTGTAGAGAAGAACAGAGAAGTGTTCATACATCGAATCCAGTGCTCACAACATCCAACCTCCTGGCTGGGGGAGCCCTGTGCTGAACAGCCTGGTTGGGGTCCAAATGAGTGAGGGTTCTGGGCAGAGAGTCCTCCCCTCAGGTGAGACTTCAGCTAACTATTCCCACCAGGGAGATACATGCCCTACCTGTGTGTGATCTCTGGTGCGTCATAAAGTTGGCCTCAGTGCAGTCCTGAGCCAACTGGGTTTTTTTCTGTTTCTCATTCCCGTCTCACAATCTTGGGAGCCTGGACATCGGTGTATTTCTTTCCCGTCTCTGATCCGTTCCAGGGGGCCGGCCTGGTCTGCCTTGAGGAGTTGAGGCAAGTTAATCCCTCTTGGCATCAGGAACACAAAGGCTAATACTGATCCTGAGGCCAGATATGAAGCACAAGTCAACTAAGGCCCCCGTGACTGTGTATGTGCGGCCCTGGGTAGAAATGCACAAGTCACACAAGTTCTGTAGAGAACACAGGAGCACCGCCAGCAGATGCTGCCATTTATACGCTCAGCCTTGGGCCTGATGGCGAGGATCTCAAGCAGCGCTGTCCACGGGTTCTGAAAGCCTGGGAAGAAAATTAAGTCCCAACCTGACTCGGATTCCAAGGAAATGAACCTGCTTGGAAACAGTCCAGTGACTTAGATGCTTTTGCCGACCGCCTGTGTTTAATCCTTTTCTCTCACACAAAAAGGATCAGGGAGGGGCTCCCCGATTCCATCTGAAAGCACCACTAACATAATGGCCTGGACCCGATCTCCCATTTTCATTCCCACCATAACCTTCCTTCCAGACGAACTGCCCCGGAAAGAAGCTCCCTCGGAAAGCCCGCGGGGATGCTCCGGGAGTTACTTTATTCAGTGCCATCGCCTCGCTCCCGTGCTACGCACTCCGCGGCAGGTCCACG